CACTTTCAGCACTCACTGTAACAAATCCTGTTGGCTTCTTCAAACAAAAAGAAGTAGGAAGCCAGAGATTGCCATCACAGTATGACTGCTGTTGCCCGCCAATGCAGATAATTGGCTTCCTTATGGATTTCTGGAGCTGGAGTACATACATTAACTGTTTGTGCTCATTAAATGACCTGTACTGACATAAAACTCTACTGTACTCTGTGACGCAAAGAAAACAGGTGTCTAATGAGGGCAAAAGGACAGTGGTTGGTGGTGTTTTCAGTAAGAGACCTTTAAAGACAAATGGATGTCTTAAAACTTAAAAAAAAAAACTTAAAAATAGGACATTAAATGGTACCACAAGCATTTACACACATGCATAACATTCATTAATAGAAGGCAGATCAGGAGTTGACATTTGTTTTGACAAAACACCTGGGAGAGGGAAAAGTCACTGAGGAATTGTCTCCATCAGACTGGCCCATGGGCAGGTTTGTGGAGACAATTTTTTAGTTGTTAATTGAGATAGGAGGGCCCAGCCTACTTTGGTAGGTACCATCTCTGGGTGGACAGGCCTATGTTATATTAGGGAAGGTAGCACGCAGCATCCTCTATGGTCTCTTCTACAGCTCCTGCCTCCAAGATCCTGCCTTGAACTCTTGCCCTGGCGTCCGTCAGTGATGGGGTAAAACAAACAAGCAAACAATCTTTTCCTCCCCAGATTGCTTTTGGTCATGGCATTTATCACAGCAACAGAAAGCAAACTAGAACACATGGGTTCCATGGTGGTCATTAAAGCTCACACAGAATTACATTACCTCAGATCTAACAGCATGCTAAAGTATGGTCAAATTTATCTGTCTGTACTGTTCTAAATGTGGCCGAGAAAGGTGTCCAAATGACTGTGCTAACTAAAAATTCTGAATTCCTTAGTTGTTTTTCAAAGAGCCATGAAACTGCAGAATTCAACTCCAAACAAAATCACCTCAAGCTAAGAAAGTTTGATTCTTAGAAATGCAGCAAGGATTGTTTTTTTTAATCAGGTCAAAGTTAGATACTTTCTAATTCTATAGGAACAGTCTTCTGAGGACTCAACGGAGTGGTGAGAACAAGGTAGAAATGATTGCCTGTGACTAAGTCAACATCCGTAGATGTGGTGATATTTCCTTTGTACTCTAGCAAATAAAGCTTACCTAACCATAGAGGTCTGGAAGTCTGTGCAGAAACAGGAAGTGATATTGCTGGGTGGAGAGAGGAATATAAGGTGGGAGGAGACAGGAGCTCCATCTCCTTTTGGCTTGAGGATCTCTAGTGGCAGGCTGCTCTGCTTTTCTGATCCTTCAGCTTTCATCCCCCCTAATATCTGACTCTGGGTTTTTATTATTAAGACCAGTTAGAACTCATGTGACATGTAGGTGCCTGTGTATCTGTCTTATAAGCTGGGGCACACAGCACTGTAGGAGGAGAGGGCTTCCCCTTGCTCCTTCTCCCCCTGCTGCACCTCTGCAACACTCATTCATCCACAGTCCATGTGCTACTTGAGCTGAGCTGCAAGGGAGGAAGGATCAGTTTCGAAGGAGAGGGCACTGAGTCCTCACAAAGCAGGTCATACATAGCACTGCAGAGAAAGGACTGAGTATACCGTCTCAAAAGTAGTGGCTCCAAGTTTGTCTGAGAGCCCTCACTGCCCCCATCTCCCGAGGGGAACAGGATAGAAAAGCAATATCTTTAATGGACTGAGGAAGAAAATGGGCAGGAAATGAAAGAAAGGTGACAGGGAATGAAGGAAATGAGTTATTTAAAAATATTGCACAGATGCACAATACTGCCCCCAGCAAGCACATAGATCATTTCCAAGAGTCTGGAGAGCATTCCAAACATTTTAGGGAAACATGTTAGGGAAAGCACACAGTGTGCTTCCTCATTCTCCCTGCTTAAACTACACATTCACACAACGCAAGAAGATAAGCTGAATTCAATAGACAAAGAGCACATGGAAAAACAGGATTCATCTGTTTTTCTTTTTTCTTTTTCAACTATAGCATGTACCTTGTAAATTCAATTTTAAAGGTATGGTGTTATGATGCATTTTCTTGAATGATATCACTGGAAATCCAATTTTCAGAGCCACTGTGTCTTTTCTAGTGACATACTTTTTGGGGACAAAGGATGAAGGCGATCCTGATTTGAGCAGGTGGCATGGTGTTCTGACACTGGAGACTGTCATCAAAGATGGAAAGAGTATGATTTGATGATTCTCTCTCCAGCAGTGACTCTTGTGTGGAGAAGCTCAGGAGGGCAAGGCAGATAGTCACCCTTGGCCAGGCAGGGGTGTCTGACAAACAGTATCAGGGTCCAGTCTTAAGTCATTAATATCTACAATTTCTAATGCCTATTATGAGGACTCTGGAAAATGCTTCGTTCTAAATTCATGAGTTCCACAGCAACTACATGTGAGGACAGGAAATTGCCTCATAACAAACCTTTGTACAACAGGGATGGCTACTCAATTCATTTCAAATTAGAGTTCCACAGCAACTACATGTGAGGACAGGAAATTGCCTCATAACAAACTTCGTACAACAGGGATGGCTACTCAATTCATTTCAAATTACCATGGACTTGTGTGTGTGTGTGTGTGTGTGTGTGTGTGTGTGTGTGTTCCTTTTATTCTTTTCTTCCTTCCTTCCTTCCTTTTTTTTTAAAGAATATGGGATCAGTGAGATAATTGGCTCAAGAATCTTCCAGATAACTGGTTCAATTTCAAATGTATTTTAAACATTCCCTCCTAGCAAGAAGGCACTCCATCCTGGCAAATGGGCTCATTTCCCACCACCAAGACCTCAGGTGTGTAGCTTTACCCTGCTCCAGGCTACAGCTGACTTTATGAGAACCATTTAGAATGGTCAAGGGCATAAAAGGAAATATATGCGGAAAGAGTGATCTTTTATAACCACTATATTCAAGTCAGGACCCAGCCTGACACTGAAATACACTTACTCGTTGTAATTTATAGAGAGAATGTAGTTAGAGTCTGAAAAATATCAGATCAATAACCTAGGAGACAAGCGGTGACATAACTAACTTCCTTCACACTAGTGACAGGCGGCTAGGACAGTGACAGTGTGCTGTCTGTTCTATGGGACAGGAAAAGAATGGGAAAAGTGAGTTAAGTACCTTTCTCCCACCATTACCTCACCTTTCCTCTGATGGCATTTTCCTCTGCTAAGATAGAAAAGTTTCCCTTTTGAAGCATCATTTTGGGCAGCAGAAAAATGTTTTTGTCACATTAATTATGGAAAAGAACTCATGTCCTCCACAGAACTACACCAGAGGTAGTTCATTTGATAGTTATTTTAGGAGGATTTAAGATGATAGTTACATATGCTAATATTCTTCTCATTAGAGAATCCTTCGTCATGCCTTAATATGCCAATTATGTATGTTAGATGGAAGCCTAGAGGAAGGGTCTACACAGAATTTAAAATAATCTGAAGTCAACTGTGTCTCACTTGTTAATTCATTTAAGGAACTATAAAGCAGAGGGAGGGAGAGAAAGGGATAGGATTCCATTTTGTGTGTTTTAAAATTTCCTAAAATTGTCTGTTTAGCTAGCTGCCTTCTACGGAGTCTTTAGCTTAGTTTTTTTAGGGTGAAGTTAGGCAGTCACAATCAGCCTTGCAGTGTTCTGTATCAATGTTGCCTAGCAGGAAGGGAATACACATTCATTCATGAACTCAATGAACATAAAGTCCAGGCTCAAGACCCCGCTTTCTGTCGGACCTGCATGTCAGGCCTGGCGATGAGCAGCACAACACTCTTACACTCCTCACTAGACAGCAGAGCCACGGCCTCTTCCCGGTTCTGGATGTCTTCCCCATTTATCTAGAGAACAAACGAAAGTGGCACATTAGTTTCTATTTCCACAATGCTGCACACAATAAATGGCAAATATCAGCTCATTTATGGTGAATGTATGGACAATGAAGCTTCCACAATGGTCTCATCTTCGCCCCTCCGTGGAAAGTGCCTTCACTCAATTACACGCGTGCTGTAAGAGCCATATCGATCCCTGAAGGATGGTGGACATCACAGGAAGCAGTTATGTTCATAAATGTCCAACCTGCGCCCTGGCAACATACATCTAGCAACACAATTAACCAGCCCCTGACAGGTGACGTTCATCTTTCTCCGCTCAGAGTAATGGAAGTGTCACTCTGAGATAATAGTGCTGGGGGAAGCGGCCAGCAGTTCCACAACCGAAATCCGTCATCCTGCACGCTCCCGGGAGCCAATTAGAGAGCTGCAGACTGCCCCTGAGCAGGCTGCGCGCCCAGACTGCTGCTGACCTGGGCTAAGTTAATCAGTATTTGTGTGGGAGCCTGACTCAGTTGTCCGAACATCACTCCAGCTATATCCCAAATGAGTCTAATCCAAATGGAGAATAGCTCTTTGGGACCCTGGTCCCAGCACTCAATTCCTTCCAAGACTTACCCATTTCCTCTTTCAAAAAATGCAGTATTTTACGTATACTTCGAAGTTTTAAAGATTGGCATCAAGTAAAATTGACTTTAAATACTGAGGGAAAGAAACCAGCCTTTCATGAGCTTTTGATTGTGCAGAAAAAAGAATCCTACAACACCCAGATATTATCCTAGGTTCTAAGAATAGAGTAAGCATCGTTGAACTCCATTTCGTGTTCAGGTGTATTTATTTTTAATTTAGCATATTTTCCATTGGATGCTTAAAAATAACTTTGTTTTATTGATTTCTCAAATTCACAGAGGCAGTATTTTTATCTCTAGCATATTATCAAGATTTCAAACAGGAATCTGTGTAAATGAACACTAATTATGTAAGTTAAATAGAGAGAACATGTAGCCAAGCCAGCCAATGTTTTTCCTCCAGTAGTTTCATGTTTTCACTTGTGAGTCCCTGGGATTCTGGCTGATTCACATGGATAGACAGGGTTACCAGAAAAAAACAAAATCAGCCCTAGAATCTCACTTTGGACAACAGAGAATAATCCTTATCCCTAAATCCTTATTAGAGATGCCTAGGAGAGCTGACCACCAGTGAAGAAAGTCACATAACTCAAGGGCATTTCAGACTCTGGTCAAAACAGGTGCCACCATCATTTCTTACTTGTCTGTTGTTAGAGGCCCCAATGCTCGTGGGTTTCATGTGTATTCCTTTTTATTCCCAATCCTCAAATAAACCTTGTCCAACTAGGATTGTGGTTTTAAAAGACTATGGCCTTTACTTCTATTGACCTCTTTGCTTCTGGCCATTTCATGACACTTCTTAATTTACTTGCAACACATCTGTCTCATTCTAGGCATATTCTAAATGTCCTGTGATTTCTGACATGGCTAATCTCTATCTTTTTTGCCTGGGATTTCATACTCACTACTTTCCCCTCTAGTTTTCAGTCAAACTAAGGAATACTTTCCCTTTCTTCACCCAGTTTCACCTGCTATCAATCTTCTCCTCATCTCTACTTCACTATTGTTGCTATCATGGTTGCTAACTTAGACTAGATGCTCATAGTTACTTTCTCAGAGTGTTGCAGTAAAGGGATTAACATGCTCCTCTAGATGCAATGTGTTACATTACCCTCTCTCTCTCTCTCTATATATATAT